TTTAAGTCAGATTTTCAGGCGTCTATATAATATTTTGACCAGTCCCTTGTAAGATGCACCACAACCAAAATCTTGTTTAGGCCCACAAATGCCCAGAACTGTTGACATGAATTACCTTTTTGTTTTTGGAGAGATAGGAGGTGAGAGTCTTCCATGATGCATCTCCAGTTGTATTATCAGACACCTTAAAAAGCTGAAATATGATTTAGACATTTTATAAAGATTAAATTTTATCTTTTCTAACATTACTGTTTTTATTCAGCTTTTACTTCAATTAAAAATCAAGCGCAGCAGCTCCGGTTGGATCTGCTGTACCGCTGTTGTGTTCCCGTTGTAAGAAGACTTGAGACTACAATGTGGAACTAAGAAAAAAAATAAATACATTACCACATCGAATTTTATTTAAATTTTGAAATCAAATAGTACTAAAACTGATACATTCTACAAAAGGCCGGGTATCATTAAGAAGTTGCGGATACGATACATACCTCAATACATAGGCCATGATACAATACATACCTCAATACATGAATGCCACCAATACGATACATATTTGATACATAAGTACGATAAGATACATATCTCGATACAGTGAGCTTTTGATTTGATATGATATATTTCAAATCGTTTGATATGGTTCAATTAAAAAATAAGCCTAACTCATGTAAACCACTTCTTGTGCAAAGTTCATCATCAAAAACTGTGAAAATGTCAAATGTGTTGCATACAAAGTTTCCTTCCTCTGAACAAACAAAACTGTAGCACTGTAACAAAAATAATTTAGTAAAATATACCAAACAATACTCTTGGCAATATATCGATACAGCAGCCCATGATATTGATATTGTACCATCGCATTAACAATACAATATATTGATATTGCAGTATTTTTGCAACACCCCTATTCTACAACATAATTACATCATAAATAAAGAAAATAAATAATCAAATGCAAACCAACTCAGTAAACAAGCACCACCATGAGCATGATCTCCTCCTCTTCACCATCACTATTGTTTTGCTAAAAGTAGAGATTTCCCCATAAATCTAAGCACTGACGTTTGCCAGTTCAAAGTTCAATGTTTTTTTGCTACTTGGATATGTACTTGGTGCTTTCATAGCACTGTTTTCGGTTCCTAGTGATTCATTTTTGGAAATTTTTGTGCCAAAATAGAGGTAAATTTGCAGCGTTATGGTCGAAAAACTGTGCGTGTTTGCTGCCTCCAATGGCCACTGCAATTTCAAGTACTACATGACATCACATATGACTAGCTGGATGTTTCTTTTTGCAAACTTGGCTGCATGGACAAAGTTTGAAGTGGTGGATTCCTGTTAGACCAGTCACACTGTTCCACATATTTACAGGTCCAGCCCCTCAACCCCCCCTTACACTCTTCTTCTACTCCTTTTGTCCTCCAGGTATTGACCAGTTTCTATTTGAAAAGTTGAAAAAGGAGCGGGAGTTAGAATAAATAGTGAATATTTACCTCCATGGGGAAACGTTTGCCATCCAGAGTGTGTTCAGAGCCTGGTACAGATGTCCCCTTGCCCCAGTGGAGGTGGAACTGCAAACTGTCGTACCGTTCAGTGAGCCCCCTCCTGACACGCTCACTCCACTGGCCAACGTCACTTTCACTGACAATCAGAAAAAAACAACAAAGTAAATTTATGCTAAACTCTTCCTGAGAATGAGTTAGAACAAGATAGACAGAGTTATCCAGTTTACTTATGTGTTGCACTGGAAAAACAAACAATATTTAGGTCAGTTAAAATGACTTCAATTAAGAACATTTTACTTTATTTGAGTAGATACAAGTAACATTATCTACCAATGGAATAAGCATGTTTTTCTTAATTCAAGCAACATTTGATTTTTTTTTTTTTTCCTTATTTTAAGTGCAAAAAATTGTTGTTTTTCTTTTTTTAAGTGCAGCAAGATGTGTTTTCATATTTTGAGTACAAAAAAATCTTATTCCACTGTCAGATCATTTTACATGTCAAGTGAAATTTACTCAAATCACAATAAAACTTTCTTGATTCAAATCATCATAACTTGACCAGATTTTCTTTTTTTGCATATGTAGGTTTTTTTGGTGAAAATTCTGCAACCTGCTTGTCTGTGGAATGAAATGTTTCACAGTATGGCATTAATCATATCTATCACCATGGAGACAAGCAGGTGTTGCCACTTGGCCAAGTTACAGGGCAGATTTATGGAGAGGCGACTTCAAGGATTTTTTTTTTTCTTTTTAAACAACAACAAACACATGTCACTGAATAAATGCAAGATATACATTTAGTGCTCCACTGCGGAACATTCCATGACCACATCTCCATGGAGACAAGCAGGGCTGACTCCCCACAACTACAAAAGCTAGTGTTCCTTAAAACGATATCACCCTGGGCTTGAAATATTAGACTATTTTGCATTCTTAGCCTGTGACATTCAATTTATAACCAGAAAATTACCAACACTTTCTCATGTGGAGATGTTCTCATGGAAATTTAGGGAGTACGGGATATTTAACTATTTATTTAAGTCTTATTACACAATTTTGACTCTTGTGAGCTTTAACTTATAGTGTTTTTACCTCCTCAAAAACAGACCTGGCGTTTGGCTTTGCTTCATTCACACATGTTTGAGTAATCCTTTAGTATTAGTCTGTCTACATCTCCAAAGCCCAAAATGCTCTGTTTGTCTTTGTGATGTTATGTAGTGGTAGTTTTAAAATTAACAGCCTCCATTTACCTTTTATTCTGTAGCGATCGGCTGAGCTGAAAATTACCCAAATGATTTTAGTGAAGGTGTATATGAAGTTTATAAACATAGTAGAACACTTCCTGCATTACGACAAGACATCACAAGGTGGAACAGAATGTTTTCCATTTTAGTGAAGAACTAAATATGCAGGGTTTGTGTGTTAAACATGTGTGAATGAAACAAAACACAACTCCAGGTCTGTTTGTGATGAAGAAATATTATAACATAGATCAGAAAATAGTAATTGTAATATAGGACCTTGTACACTGTAGAAAGATCAGTTTCCCTCACCTGTATGCCCTGTGTTCTCGATCTTGGTCAGGGCTGTTTTGCTGTTAAAATTGTTCAATTTTAAAGCTGTCAGGTTTCCATCATACGTGGCGTTTTTGGAAACGATGTCAATGGGAGACTGTCGAGATCCAGCACAGTATTTAGGAGCCAGAGTCACCCACGCAGCATCATCTGTGAGAGAAGGTTACATTCAGTCAATTTACATTTTTCAATTTCAGTCCCACAAACATAAAAATAAGAAACACTTTATTAAACTAGACTATTTACAGCCTTGAAAAAAGCTTGAAGCATAATTTAAGTTATAATGAACAAAAAATGTATTAAAGGGCCCATATTGTGCTATTTTCAGGCCTATGTTGTGATGTTGTAGCATGATTCATCAGCCGGTTTCACTTCATGGAAACCGTCTGACCTCATAGCATTAGAATTCGTTCGCTCGACGATAGGCGGGTACTTTTTTATTTACCCAATCGCTGCTATTTGGTCATGACGTATGTAATGCACCACT